ACCCACCCAGGCCCCAACCCGGCCCGCATCACAGGCTCCCCACAGGCCTGTCCACTCAACTCTCCACCTCTCAGCAACAGTTGTTATAGTCATGGTTTCCTCACACCTGCCTGCTGGGCTTGGCCTGGGCTTCCGCCTCCCTGCCTCCCCCACTAGAGAATCCAGAGCCGGGTGGGCAGACATGGACTGATGCCTGTGGAGCCACCTGCCCTCCCCCTGGAGTTTCCCTTGATTCCTGGGGACACCACTGTCTCCCTTCCTCCTGGCCCAACCCCTACCCTCCTCCCGCCCAGGCTCCAGCAACACTCAACAAAGCCCAGTTCCCCAAGCGCTGCTTCTCTCTCACCTCCGGGCTGTTCTCTCTGGAATGCCCTCTCTCCCTGCCCCTCCACACGCCTTCCCCTGGTTAAGCCCCGACCCCTCAACTTGGAAGCATCCCATAGATTCAGTCTGGAAGCATTCCACGACAGCTGCCCCCAACCCAAGGCCTGGACAGGTACCTGTCGCATGGCCCATGATGCCCCGTGCTCCCTGGCTAGTCCGGCAAAACCCTCAGAGTGAGTGGTCGTGTCCGACTCTCCTCACGGTGCAGCCCCGGCTAGCACATGGCCAGCATTCGGTAAAGGATTGGTGAACAAACGAACGCATAAGATTAACTGATCAAAGTGTTAGAATTGCCAAGAAATTTCAACCTGGTGCCTTCTGTTTTACACAAAGTGCGAGTTCATCAAAGACTCCCCCACAAAACGGGAGGAGTGTGGTCCATGTGGGCACTTGCCCCAGAACCAGTTACAGACGTCACACAAAGGCCATGTGTGAGGCAGATACGGGTAAACCGGACCTCAGGATGCTGCCAATCCCAGGCCGAGCGCCACCTCTCAGCCCCAGGGAGGTGGGCAGAGAGAGAGAGAGGCTTGGGGTGGAGCCAGGCTCAAGAAATGTCTGAATAAACAGGGTCTGGGTGGCTCTACAGAATCGCTCCTCTCGGTTTCCCAGGGGAGAAGGGGAGGCACAGTCGGCGGAAGGACAGATGAAATCAGCAGAAGCGGAGAAGTAGGTCCCTCACTCCCCAGAAATCTTACTCGGAGACAGACGTCAGCCTGACGGTGAGAACCACAGGCAAGGATTCTGGGTATCCACAGCCCAGAGCCTCCCCCCACCCCAGCCCCCTTCTTTCTTTCTTTAAAATATCATGGCTGAGGAGGAAGCACCGGATCGGCACGTTTATTTACCATTCCTGAGCCTGACTCTCCAGGAAGAATGTCACTAATGAGAAACAATCGACTTTGCGCCCAAACCCAGAACTTCCATAGGGATCCATGCAGGGTTTCAGAGTTGAAACAGGGCGAGGGGAATCCTGCCTGCCTTCCCTTTGAGGGAAAAGAAGGCAACGGACTGTTCTGTCTGGAAGGAAGTTTTGTGTGTGTCGAACAAATGTCAGAGGTGGGGTCGCTTCTCTCCCGCTGTCCTGGCCCCTCTGGATCTCCCCTGGGAGAAAAGAGGGCACACACCTTCCTGGGGTGTGGGCGGAGGGAAGTGGAAACTAAAAGTGCTGTTAGGGACGGAAGTGTCCCGGACTCAAGAACTGACCCTACAGTGGAGGCCAGAAGTCCGAGCTCTGCTCTCCTCCCTCACGTCCACATCATGACTGTTCACACGGAGGAGACCCCGCCATCCCAGCAGGGCGCACGCTCCGTGAAGACGGGGGCCCGTCGGGCTTGCCCTCTGCTGCATCCCAGTGCCAGCAAATGCGCATCACATAGTAGGTCCCCTTATTAAACCGATAGATTACGCAATTAGCCAGCGTGAAACACTTGCATAGAAACAGCCAGTCAGTGTCATTTCCATTTTCTCAGCGGGCACAGAGATTTTCTTTTTTAAGTTTTTTTGTTTTTTTTTCATGACAGGACCTAGAATTATCTGGATCATCTGGTCAGTTCATCTCGCTGGGTCCATGGACAACCCATCAGTGCCAAGCGCTATTGCAACCCAACTGGTTATTAAACAGTGTGAACGGTGAACTTACAAATTCTCTTTAAACAGTGCCAAGCGCTATTGCAACCCAACTGGTTATTAAACAGTGTGAACGGTGAACTTACAAATTCTCTTTAAACTCTGCCTCACATCTGGCTGTGCCCGTGGGTCATAAAACCTCTCAGGTGTTAGGCACGCTGTTTCATTTCGTCTCGGCTTAGCAGACACCACTCTCCACCTCCTGCAGGGCCACCGCAGCTGGGTGCCGCGGGAGTCTCCAGAAACTGCCGCTTGGCGAGCAGGAAGGCAGCGTAGGACTCCATCCGGGACCAGCCCTGTCCCCCATCAGGCTGGCCTAACTTCTCCCCTTTCAGAGAGAAGCCCTGACCGTCCTCCCTCTGGGAAGAGGAGGGTGTGCCTCGCGTGATGTGAGCTGCCTGGCGTTAGCTGAAGAAGGCCTGGGAGACCCTGGATCTGCACACAGATTCTGGTCCTGCCCCTAACTGGCTGTGTCCACCCTGGGCAGCCGGCTCCCTTCTGTGGCTCCGTTTCTTTGTAAAACGTGGAGAACTGTGCCTACTTCCTGAGGTTGTTGTGAGACTTCAACGAATCAGTGCACACAGGCCCCGAGAGGTAGTGCCTGGCACACGGGAAGGGATGTGTTCTCGTCTGTTATCTGCACAGTGAGGTCTGTGGTCCTCCGGACCTCTCAGCCCTCGTAAGAAGGAAAACTCAGTCACTGAGGTGCCTTTTTGTGGGCATTTTTGATGCACCTGCCCCATCAAATGCATCCCAGACCATGTATGGCGCAAGAGAAGAGTTTGCACCAGTGATTTAAAAGGGGACCGCACAGGCTCCTCTAGGCGCCCTGACTTGCATGGTCTTGGGACAGAACCCTCCCAGGGGGCAACTCCAGCCACCCATCCAACCTGAGGGAGACTCTGGGGCCGCCTGCCGCCTCAGTTCGGCTGGCAACACCGTCTCGGCATGGAAGTTGGCCTGTTCGAGTGGGAGAATGCCAGGGGGAACTGCTGGGTCTGGGAAGGGGTGGCGGTCCCCAAGTCTGTCTGCTCAGCCCCAGCCTCTGGCCTGTTCAGTCCGGGGGCAGCAGCCTTCCCTCACTTCGGTGATATGACCCAGAAGTCCGCGGCTTCTGCAGAGTGTCACGATATTAACCGTCTCTTAAATTAACACAGTTCATCACATCCATTGAAACATAAGTGCTTATCAAATACCCCTCGTCCATGGGCATGGCGCATTTTTATGACGAAAAAACGAAGGCCTACTTTATCCCCAGAGGCAAAACGCTTGGCATCTAAGCCAGGCTGCCTGGCTTACGCTGTTGGTGGGGACACTTTTCCCGTGTCAGACTTGTGTCTTCCACAGTGAGTGGCTAGGTGCCTTCGCTGAATAGACGAAGGTGTCCCTTGTCAACACTAACATTCTCCTGAAAGGAAAACGATACCCACACACATGCAACCCAGTAACTATTGGAAAACGTTAAAAGTGACCATACAGGTTGCTTGCCCAGTGCTGGGATCCACTGGATCCCAAAGAACGGATTCCTGTGGTGAGGCCAGAGAGGAACTTCATTGGGAGCTGAGCCTCCCTCTCTGCTGGACGTCCCAGCCCCAGGTGCTCTCATCGCTGCCGTCTGCAGGCTGTGATTAGGGGCCCTAATGGCCATAATGCCTCCAATGTGGTGTTTAAACCAATAAGGCTTCAGAGAAGTTACTGGATGTTTAATAATGGCTTAATGACTACTTTCGAGATGCAAGGCTTCTGGTTCCTGTTTGGCCTTGATTTATAGCCCAACTCCGGCTGAGGACAGCCAAGAAACCCCCCCTCAGCCCCCAGCGGAAGAGGGAGGTGTTCACACCAGGCTTCTTGGATTCCTTTAAAAACTGAGAATTCAAATGAAATACAAATGATGTTTGACTCCCCACCTTTCTCACTGGTCTCTTGAGGCACTAAAAATAAAAATAAAAAACCGGTGTGACCCAGACGTAGGGACTCCTCAGTCCACAGAAGCGAGCAGGACCCTCTGGTATTTCTGACCGGATCTTAGCTCAGGTCGGCTCTCTTTTCAGAAATTCTGAGCCACTGTGCCAGTCCTCCTTCCGCGAGGCTGGAGAGCCCCAGCTCTCCGATGTGAACCTCCCCGCCCCTCCCTGCAAAAGGCAGGCCAGGGGCAGCAGAGCCCTTGGGTCTGAGCTGCAGGGGGCCTCTCCACAGTGGGTCCCCGGGCACCTCCAGGTCATTTGTCCGCTGAAGGCAGTCACTCCATGCCGAACCCGCCAAGTACCCCACCACCTGCTCCAAAGGCAGTCTCCCTGTCTGCGCCAGCCCTGCCCCTGTTTCAGACCCACCGGGAATATACAAAGACTGAGGATTGACTCGGTTGACCAGTTAGATGAGGGCAGCAGCCGGCTGGTTCAAGGTCCCACAGCCAGCATAGCGCCCAGCCCCCAGCCCCATCAGAGCTGTTTCAAACAACACTCCGGTGACTCCTATTCCTGTGAGAAACGAAATCTCTAAGGGAGGTGATTTTACTGGAGGCAACATTTTCCCGGGTCCCAGCCCTTACCTGCCGTGGTTCTCATCCCGGGCTGCCGGACTACAAGTTCATTTTGGGGAAGATGGAGGGAGGACTCTATCCCAAACGGCTTCACCCCCTCTAGACCGGATATCAGCACCAAGGTTGCTGCTCTGAACAAGGGCCTCACCCAGATGGGCAGACAAAAGGGCCTTCCCTGGTCCTCCAACCGCCTCGGATACTCGGGTTGGGGTGAATCTGGGGGCTCCCGGCCTCCGAGGGGTTAACCCGCGCGGGGCCGCACGTGACGTGGATGGTTCCAGCCCAGGCGCTGCCCCCTCCAGGCCTCCCCCCACCACCCCCGCGGTGCACGCCGCTCCCGGGGGCTCCGCGCCCCCGCGCCCAGGTCCCTCCCCCTTGGCGGGCGCTCACAAGCCGCGCCGGCTGCGCGAACCCGGGAGCCCCGGCGGCCTGTGCGCCCCGAGCCGGCATGGACCCCGAGCGCTGCGCGCCTTTCGGCGTGGGGCCCGGGCCCGACCCCTACGCGGCCGCTGGGGACGAGCCTCCGGGCGGCCAGGGGACCTCCGCCGCCGCGTCTCACCTGCACCCCGCGCCGCCCCGAGGCCCACGACTGACCCGCTTTCCGGCCTGCGGGCCTCTGGAGCCCTACCTCCCGGAGCCGGCCAAGCCGCCCGCCAAGTACCTGCAGGACCTCGGGCCCGGCCCGGCGCTCAACGGCGGCCGCTTCTACGAGGGCCCGGCGGAAGGTAACGCGGGTGGAGCGCGCGGTCGACCTGCACCCCTTCCCTCCCCGGCCGCCCGGCCTCCCGCTTCCCCTCCCGCTCGCTGATTTCTCAACTTCGTGACCCTCCCGCTCGCACACGGCTCCCTCGGCAGGAAGCGGCCCGCGCTGGTCCGGGCCGGGCAAAAGCCAGCGGCGCGGGAGGCAGAGCCACGTGTGCCCTCGGCGGCGGGGATGGGAGGCGGAGGGCGAGAAAGGGTGGAGCGGCGAAGGCTCGGGGCCCAGTCGGACCCGAAGGCGGCCAGAGCCGGGAAGGAGAGTCATGCTTGGCGGAGCGGGGCTGGCGCTGTCACCCACCCAGAAGCCCCGGCCGGCCAGGGCCCCGGTGCCACACTGAGCCCCGGGCCCCGATGCGGGGAGAGGAGCGCGGCTTTTTTGCGTGTAGCTCCTGTTGCCGCCGAGGCTGGGCCCCGACCCAGGATGGCCAAGCCGGGCCTGCCGAGGGCTGTGGCCTGGCCGCCGCCGGCCTCTCCTCCCAGGCCCAGCTTCCGCGGGGAGCGCGCTCACGGTGACGGCGGCCGGTCCCCGGTGCCGGGGCCAAGCTCTCTACGGAATAACTGCTCTTGTTTCTCAGACTAACCTGGCCTCCCGTCGTTATAACCGGCGATGGCCCCCCTCTCGCGGTCTGGGCTTCCCCGCACCGGTCGCCGCCGCCGGGCCCTCTGGAGCAGCCCGGGCGGCCTAATCCCGGCGCCTGGGCGTTCTGGGCGCGAAGGCCGGTTGGACCGCGCCACCTCCCGAGATGGAGCCTGAATGTCCCGGCCGGGCAGGCGGGCCCGCAGTCCCGCCAGCGCCCACTGCACGGGGGGCGGACCTGTAGGAATCTGGGCGCCCGCGCCGCCCCATCCCGCAGCTCAGGCCCAGAGCTGGAGCCCCCGAGATCGGCCCAACCCGCCGCCGCCCCGCTGGCGCCTCGCGGGCCTCCGCGGAGTGGACGGGCAGCTCCGGCCTTCGCCCCGCCGGCGGTGGGAGTGAGCAGAGGAGGCGGGAGGTGTGTGGGGGTCAGCGGAGGAAATGAGCGAGGCCGCGGAGCTCCGTGTCTGTGCCCTTTGAAAGAGGCTCTCCTGATAAAAACCACAGTCGGGACTTAATGAGAAGCAGTTGGCCCGGCTCCTCTGATCCCAGCCAGAGGCGGCGGTCGCGCTGCGCCCGCAGCACCGCCGGGGACAGGTACCCAGCCGAGCGGGGCGCGCGGCGTCGGGCAGGACCCACCGCGGGCCCGGGTCCCTGCTGGGCGCGCCGGATCCCGCACGGACCGCGGGGCGCCAGGGCCCGCCCGGCGGCGCTGGAGCAGAAGGAGCGGAGGGAGGAAGCGGCGACGGCGAGGGGGTCGGCAACGAAAGGCGCGGAAAGAAAACCGAAGCGTGTAAACAACCCAAAAGAGGGGAAAGGCAATTGAACAAAGCATCGGGGGAGAGGGGTGAGAACGAAAAGTAGAGGCGCTGGCGAGCTGGCAGGACGGCAAGGAACAGAGGAAGAGCGAACGGGGAAAGAAACCAGCGGAGATCGAACGAAGCGGGTAAATGGAGGAGAGAAAAACGAAGAGAGTAGGAGCAGGAAAAAAACACGAAAGAAAAGGGGACATCCCAAGAGAGCAAAAAACAGCCAAAAGGACGAGTGGGAGAAGGAAAGGAACGACTCAAGCCGAGCGGAGGACAGGCCGAACGAAAAGGAGGCGCCGCGGTGCGAGCGGAGCCTGGGAAGAGCCGTGGCGCGCCCGGCGCTGCGGCTGGAACTGGGCGGCGGGCGCGCGGCCTGCGACCTGCGGCGGAGCCGGGCTGCCGGAGGGAAGGCCCCGGAGTGCGGGGCGCGCGGTCTTCAGGTGGGACGTGCGGGCAAGCGGGGAAGCCGCCTTATTTCCCGGCGTTTAAAGTAGCGGGCGCGGATGTTTCCAGTTCAGACCAGTGAGCGCGCAGCTGCTCCCCATCTGCGGCGCGATATTGGCCGCAGCCGGGCCGTTGCGCTCCCCAGAGCCTGGCGCGCCGCGCTCCTCTACGGCTTTTGGGGGAGAGCGCCCGGCCCTGCCCCGACCCCGCCGCGTCCAGGAGTTGCGGTCTACCTCATGCCCTCTGTGTACGGCTGCTCAGAGCGCCGGAGAGCTGCCCTCCGGGTCCTTCCTGCTCTGCCCGGGGCCGCGCCGTCTGTCCTTTTGCTTGGCTTCCTGACCTCGGACCTCGCCTGCTGGGGCGGAGGCCCTGAGCTGGGTACCTATAGGAGCCGCACTCTCCAGCGGCCCATGCCTCGAGGGGAGTTCCCAGTTACTGGCTGGGAAACTAGGGAGAGCACCAGGCCCCACGGGGTCCCACGGGCGACGTTTATGTCCACACGGGCCTCAGGTCTTCAGCCAGAGTTGCAGTAGCCCTCGCCTCCGCTAGCACTGAGGGTCGCTTGGGAAATGGCGCGAGCGCGGAGCAAGCTGCGGAGCAAGTTCAAAGCCGGGTAGCTGGTTCTGGGGCCTCAGTGGAAGCCATCGTGGGGGCAGTAGGGCTCCCATGCTGCGCGGCTCGGAGGCTGCAGCTAGTAGGGCGCTGGCAGCCCCGTGCGGTGGGAGTGCTGGGAGCGTGAGAGTGAGTCAGGGACGGAACTCCGTGGCCCCTCAGAGGTCCTTGTCCTGGCACCTGCCTTTTGCCTCCACCCCCAACCCCTGGCTGCTGTGGTGCTGGTTAGGCAGGCCCTAGACACGCAAGCGTTGAGCCCGGGGCTCCCAGTGTCCAACACGGGCGCTCCCCCTTTAACGCCCAGTGTCCCCACCACGTGCAAGTGACTCCCACACAGCCTATAGGCGCTGGGCCTTAGACGCTAAAATTCAAACTGCTGTCCTGCCCAGCGGCTCTCCGCCCACCTCCACCTCTTCTCTGGGTTTCCATCCTCAGGAGGCTGCCCTGTCCTCCAGAGAGGGGGACCATGCCCTCCCTGAGTCCTCAGGCAGATGGGGAGGGTTCCGGGCAATGGCAGGAGGGAGAAGCTCTGGTCCCCTGACAGGGTTGGAGACTGGGCAGGCGTGGGAGGCCACCCCAGGCGGGCAGGCTGTGCTTTTGGGGGGAGCCATCCTGAGAAGTCCTGCTGCACATTCCTCCCTGATCCTGGGCGGCTGACTCAGGGAGGCAAGTCCTGCAGCCCCAGATCGGGTGGCTTCCTCTGGGAAGATCCCCTTGGAACAGATATGAGGGCCCAAGAGGCCCCAGAGCTTTGGAGTGAGGTCATTGCCCTCTGCAGTGATGTCCGCACTCCCCTGGCCCCCATCCCTGAGCCACACTCACCCTGTACGCCCAGTCCAGCAGGGCCTCCCTCTGAACCTGAGACTCTGGCCTGCTATGTGTCAGACCTTGTCAGTCTCCGGTCTTCCTGACCATTTCCAGTTATTCGGTTGAACTTCCATAAGCCCTTCTTCCTAAGCTCCTACGGAGTGGACTTGCCCCTAGAACAGCCATGGGCAAACTACGCACGCGGGCCGGATCCGGCCCGTTTGAAATGAATAAAACTAAAAAAAAAAAAAGACCGTACCCTTTTATGTAATGATGTTTACTTTGAATTTATATTAGTTCACACAAACACTCCATCCATGCTTTTGTTCCGGCCCTCTGGTCCAGTTTAAGAACCCACTGTGGCCCTCGAGTCAAAAAGTTTGCCCACCCCTGCCTTAGACCGACGACAAAACGTGGCCCAGAATGGAAGCCAGAGCGGGAGCACTTCCTCCTCTGCTGTCTTCGAGGCTCCGTGAGGAACACCTGTGCACAGCCCGCGGGCAGGCCCTACCTGACTCCCCCAAGCCTCCAGGACACACAACTCGGAGCTTATTTCGGCTCCTAGGGGTCCTGGAAAGTCCCTGACCACCTTCCAGCTGAGGGGCACCTTGCATAATGTGTCCTCTACACGCACATAGGGATTCATCAGACCCGGAACCCCAGAAGCCATCTCCCCAGTCCCATCCTCCCCCTAACCCCCTCAATGACAGCTGTGATCCTGACACAAATCCTGGGGAAGAAACTGCCTCTTGGTGCCAGCTCGCTGGGCCTCCAGGGCCAGGCCCTGCTGGGGACAGGGACCAGGGCCAGGAAGGGGCCCTGTGAGTCAGTGGGGCATCTTTGTGGCCTCTCTCCTGCCATCCCAGCAGACTTGTATGGAGGTCTCATGGTGACGCTGCTGGGGGCCTCGCCAGAGGGAGAGAGCGGGCAGCAGGGTGACCTGTTTCTCACTGTGCCCTGGTCCTGGCAGGACTCGCCAAGCTTCCAGGGGGAGGGGGAGTGCCCTGGGGTAGGGCTGCTGGGGACCATCGCAGTCGCCACTCAGGTCCCCCTGCTTGCCAGGCTCTTGAGGGAGGTGGCAGGCTATGATGGGAACATGGGGTTGGGGGCTGTGCCCTGTTTCGACACTGGTTGCCCAACTCCCTTTCTCTGCGTACAGCCTACCTCCTGCCTCTATTACTGCCTACAGTACAATGTGGGCAGGAATGAGATAACGCCTCTGGAAGCTTCTTTGCCCCCTCTTATCCTTCATAACCCAGGGCTAGGGGATTTGACTTAGCCTTGAGACTTGGGGTCCAGACCAGCAAAGGTTATCAGCATCCCTGTCATGGGCATGAGGACATGGGAACCAAGGACATGGGAACAAGGGACCAGGAGGCACTTTCTGGCAGGGGCAGGGAGATAGATGTCCACCCTCCCATCCTCACCCCCTCATCCCACCCCTGTGCCAGGCCCTGCCATGGCGCCAATCCTGGCACCTCCCCACCCTGTGGGATGCGCCACCCCAGAGCGCTTCCCCGAAATGGACCTCCTCTGGCACCGGCAGATCCGCCCAGACCACAGACAGCCTGGTTCCCCTGGGCCCCCTCCCAAGCTGGAGGCTCAGCAGGACTCCTCCTCATGCCAGGCTCCCATGGAGGATGGCTGCCTGAGGAAGGGAAGAAAAAGGAAGGGGGAGGCGGGGACTGAAGCGTCAACAGTCTTCCCCTCCCTCCATTCCACCCACAAAACCCCCTGGTTCGGTTTCCATCCTTTCTGTGTTTCCATTGCAGCCGAGGAGAAGGCCTCCAAGGCAGCCAACTTCCCCCAGCTGCCCTTGGACTGCCCAGGGGGCCCCAGAGACGGGCCCTCCACCCTGCGAGGCTCCCCGGGCCCTTGCCTGGCCAGCCTGCGCGTCCCCCTGTCCCCGGGACTCCCTGACTCCATGGAGTTGGCCAAGAACAAGAGCAAGAAGCGCCGCAACCGCACGACCTTCAGCACGTTCCAGCTGGAGGAGCTGGAGAAGGTCTTTCAGAAAACCCACTACCCCGACGTGTACGCCCGGGAGCAGCTGGCTGTGCGCACCGACCTCACCGAGGCCCGGGTTCAGGTGAGGGCACCTGACAGCGGGCCAGGCCGTGGAAGGGCTGGGAGAGGTGGGCACCAGCACCCCCAGAACTGCCTGTCCCAGGTGCCTGCCCTCCTGGGCTCACCCTCCATGCCCAGCTCTGCTGGGGCCACAGGCTGGCAGCCCAAGTTGAGGCTTAGGCCTGGGTATGGGGGTGGTGGCCTCTGTGTGGCAGTCCCCTCTGCGCGCACTAGCTGACCGGGTGATTGGGGACATGCCATTGAATGTCTGGGTTCCGGTTTCCCAGTTCAGGGAGCCCCAAAGGGCAGCCTGTGGAAGCCGTGAGATGCTGAGCACGTATCAGCACTGCTTCCGAGGTGGCTGTGGGAAGGGAGGGTCTGGGGGTGGGGGGAGGTCGTCTGGGGCTCAGTGACACTCAAAGCCATCCTGAGCCAGTGACTTTCAGTCCTACCAACACTCAGACCCTGGCCAGGAGCCCCGCCCCACCCAGCAAACCTCCCAGAAGGGGTCAGGCCCCAGACTTCTGGAGGGGCCGTGGCCGGCTTCACAAGTGTGGAGTCCAGCCTGTGGGGATGCGGGTGGGGTTGGGGGCCTAGGAACAAGGGAGAGGGAGACAGGAAGTCGGTGCCTAAGGCATTTTGGACGTGGGAACGATCTTGAAGGTGGCAGGCAGGGTTGGTGATGGGATGGGAGGCTCCGTGAGAATCAGGCCCAGGAGGAGGTGGCCGCTGTGGCCTTGCTGGGAATTGACCTGACACAGCAGGTCCCTGCCCTGCCGAGCAGGAGGCCCTGGGAGAGGGCTGGGGTGGGCTTCTGGGGAAAGGCACAGAGGAGATTTCTAAACGGGAGACTTTGTAGGGGCACAGCTCATGCTGTCACCCCTGCGGGGCCTCTCTAGAACCTGTGAAATCACTGGCGAGGGCAGCTCTGGCAGGATATGGGGGCCGTCAGGCCAGTGCCACCCAATAGAGAAGGCCCTCCGGCTGGATCCCACACAGGACCAGAGGGGCTTGGGCTGTCCCCCCTTCTGTGCCAGGTCCTCCTGCCTCCATGTTCCTCCCACAGCAGATTTCTGGAACTGTCCACCGCACTCCCCAGGGCCTGGGGCCATCAGAGGGAGGTGGCCAACAGCCATGACAGCCCCGAATTACATAAGCATGAAGTCAGAGCAGCAGGTCTCCCTCCGAGGCCTCAGCCAGCCTCCGGGCTGGGCTCTGACCAGCTACTCCTATGGAGCTGCTCTGGGACGTGGACCCTTCCTCTCCTTGGGCTTCTCAACCTGGAGGGGTGCGGGCGCAGCCACAAGGCCCCAGACCTAGTCCAGCAGCTTCCTAATGACTGAGGCCCTCGAGTAGGGTACTTCCTCTGACAGGGGAGAGGAAGGCTGGGAGCTGGCAGGTGGGTGGCCCTCCCTGAGCTTGCCCAGGCCTGCTGTGGGGTCTCTGCAACCCCAGGTTGGGGGTGGGATGTGCCCGGCTTCTTAACTCAGGGCCTGACCTGCCTGCATGGGTAGGATGACAGGGGTGAGCATGAGGGGCTTGGGTGAGGTCACTTACACACTCATACACGCGTGTGCGTGGGCATGCGCGCGCGCACACACACACACACACACACACACACACACACACACACAGCCGCTTCTGTTTGCAGCCCCAGCTAGATCCCTAGAAAGCAGGGGGATGGCTTTGGTTTGGCTCAGTTTTGACATTGCCAACGTCTAGTCCAGAGGCCGACACATAAATGATAGCCAGCTGCCACACTGTGGGACACAGCCATCAGCTCCCCCAGCCCCTTCCACTCCTCGGGGCCGCCTTACCACCCCCTCGGCCTCTCCCCTCTGCCCCCAGGTCTGGTTCCAGAACCGCAGAGCCAAGTGGCGGAAGCGGGAGCGTTATGGGAAGATCCAGGAGGGGCGGAACCCCTTCTCGTCTGCCTATGACATCTCTGTGCTGCCCCGAACGGACAGTCACCCCCAGGTGAGACACCCTCCCCCCCCTCCCCTCCCACTTCTGCCGAGTCGGACGTGACCGTGCCCCGTGGGGTAGCCAGTGAGAGTGTGAGCTCTAGCCCTGGGGAGACCTGGAGTGGCCTCGGGGCCTGTGTGACTTGGGCAAACCATGTCTTCCGCTGGCCAGCGGGGCCCTCGTCACCCTGACAGCACAGAGCAGCTGGCACAGAGGACTCTGAGGAAAACTCATTTGAGAAGCAGTGCCAGGGCCTGAGATGCCTCTGCGAGTGTAGACCTGTGACAAGTGGAGGCTTCTTGGGAGGTGTCCGGAGCCCTAAGGGCAAAGAGAGAGCCCTGGTTAGGGGCCAGTCCCGGGGCTCTGGACTCACGGGCCTGCTTTCTCTTTGCAGCTGCAGAACTCCCTGTGGCCCAGCCCCGCGTCTGGGAGCCCCGCCGGGCCCTGCCTTGTGTCTCCAGAGGGCGTCCCCTCCCCGTGCATGTCTCCGTACTCCCACTCGCACGGGAACGTGGCTGGCTTCATGGGGGTGCCGGCCTCCCCCGGGGCGCACCCTGGCCTCTACTCCCTCCACAGCTTCTCCCCGGCCCTGGGGGACCACAGCTTTGAGGCCGCCCCGGATGTCGACTATAAGTCTCCAAGCCTCGTCTCGCTCAGGGTGAAGCCGAAGGAGCCGCCCAGCCTGCTGAACTGGACCACGTGATCAGACGTGTGGACACGCAGACCAAGCTGCCACCCCTTCCCTGTGCCCGGCTGCTCCCACCCCACCCTGGCCTCGATGCCAGAGAGACACACCTTTGCCTCTGAGCTCCAGATGGTCCCCAGGGCGGGCAGAGCAGCTGGAGTCCTCAGCCTCTCGCCGAGTCTTTTCTCATATAATTAGGCGGGCTGCCCCGGAGAGAGGGCATCGAAGACAGTGGACTCTTCCTACCACGCACTGGGTCCCCTCACCCACACGCTGGGCTGGAGAGACTCCGTCCTGCCTCCTTCAGACTCCGTCCAAGGGTCACTCTTGCCCCTCCGACTGAACTGGCTTCATTGGCTCTTCATCTGGGGAAGGCAGGAAAATGGGAGCAGGACAGGGTTGAAGCAGGGGATCTGGTGATTTAGGGCAGTGGTCGGCAAACTCATTAATCAACAGAGCCAAATATCAACAGTACAACGTTTGAAATTTCTTTTGAGAGCCAAATTTTTTAAACTTAAACTATAGAGGCAGGTACATTGTTATTAACTTAATTAGGGTATGCCTAAGGCTTAGGAAGAGCCACACACAAGGGGCCAAAGAGCCACATGTGGCTCGCATCTCCTAAGACCACCTGGGGCCTCACTCCCCCTCCCACCACCAGGGGGCGTGCACCCAGCATCTGGCATTGACGAGGGCCTGGAAGCCGAATGGAGCTGGTGCTCAGGTCTCCCCTGCTCCAGCAGCCCCTTCCTCCTCCCCTGCGCCCCTCCCCAACATGCGGTGGAGTCCTCCCCTCCAAGGGGCAGACGTCCTACCAGAAACCACCAAATGCTTGGATTCTCCTCCATGGGGTCAGGCCAGAGCTATGCCATGGAGACCCTACCTAGCTCCCTTGGTTTACTCGTTGGGCGTTGGTAAGAAAGATGCCCCCACTTTTATAAAGATGCGTTTGTAAAAACAAGTGCTGCCGGCATAATAATAAAGGGGCAGTGTTTTGGACCCGGTGATTGCGTATTTCAGGGGTGGGCACCGGGTAGCCCTAGGACTGGTCTGCTCAGGGCCCCGGCTGGGCCAGGCCCTCTAGGCTGGTGCCTGCCATGCCGGCCCTGTCGCCTGCCCAGGCTGTGTGTACAAGGTGCCAGGTCTCATTAAGAGGGCACATTGGTGGTGGGAAGGGTGAATGGAAGACCAGCAAGCCCACCGAAGGCTGTGAGCTCCCCTGGGCGGACCCCAGAGCCGTGGGGGTGGGGCGGCTCCTTCCCCCAGACGCCCCGGGAGCGTGTCTGGGCTGTGGGCAGAGACGAAAGCCAGGACCCTTTCTTGTGGTTTCAGAGTATTACCCATTCTATCCTTCATCCCCACTCTGCCTTATCTCCACAGCCCGGAAGGCAGGAAAAAGCAGGGCGGGCCCTCCCACTCCCGGTAAATCCCACCACTGCTCCGAGCTCAGCTCAGCCAGCAGCCCCCCACCCCGGTGCCTCCTCTCCCATCCAGGCGCAGAGAGCCAAGCACAGACTCCGCGCTGGGCTTATTCCCAAAGGGGAGCGAGTCCCTGGGACTAGACGCGTGTCCCCAAGGAAACCCGTGTCCTTCTCCTCCCTTCCCTTCCCTTCGCTCAGGGCCTGGCTTCCAGCGGCTTCTCTCCTCGGTGAGTCCTGGTCCCTGAGGAAGGGAAGAGTCCGAGTGGAAGGGGGAGGCGCCCAGCTGCCTCCACCCGCTGGGTGCCGGCCGGGCACAGACCCACGTTCCTCAGTCCAGGGCCAAGACCAGAAGTTTCTTCCCACGAGGAGAGGCCAGCACAATTGTGGACTTTCCGTCCCACCAAGTCGGAGAGTGTCGTCTGTTTTACAAACCACTCTGTGCTGGGCATTGTGCTGGGTGCGAGAGAGCAGTGGTCATGCACAGCTTAGAAAAAGATGGAGAGAGGGAAGAGACCTGGGGAAGCCGAGGAAGCAGGAGTGGGAAGGAGACAGAGGAGAGAAGAAAGTACAGCTGAGCCCGGATCGCAGTGGGAGCGGGAGGCGGGCAGAGGCCAGGAGGGGCCGGCGGGGGAGGGCACAGGGAGGCCGGGACCAGCTCCTGGCTCCCAGCCAGGGGCATCTGCCCACAGCTCATATTTTTCTGTCCAGTGACAGCCAAATGAAGGGAAAGCGAGCTTTACAACCGCCCGCTTCACACATAATGAATATGAATGGGCATCTTGGAGCCTGTTCCCTGGGATTATCTGTGCGCTGACGGGTTCTCCCACTGACTGGGCCATCCCAGAGGCCTGTCCCCGGGCTGGGACACAGGCACCCCTTCCACCTGCTTCCCATTAGCATCCTCCTGTCCCCTCCTCCACACTCTGCGTCTCACCACTAAGGCGCAACCCCCAGGGCTCCAGATGCCCAGGGCCCAGCCTTACTAACAAGGTGAACGGTCGCCCTCAGCCCAGACCCCATCCTCCCCAAGGCCGGGCTGAGCAGCTAGTCACCCTCTTGGTAAAAAAAAAGGGAAGTGGCCCCTCCTGGAATCCCAGCTTTGAGAGAACTGCTAGCCTTTGCTAAGCTCCTCTCTGCCTAGTGATGCCCCCAGAGAAGCCCTAAGTCTTGGTGCTGGCAGGGCACGGGAACCCGGCTGAGGCGGGGGTGGGGGGTGGGGCCCCAGCCAGCAGGCCTGGGTCAGGCTTCTAGTCTCAGTCTGGCATCAGCATCAGAAACGGTCCTGAGAGGCACTCCATCATCCTTCCCACATCAACCTGAATTACAACCTGAAGCACAGACCCTCTGCAGCCTGACAGGAACCGAGGATGGCACCACCAGGAACTGGGCATTTCCTGGATTGGGCAGAGGGAGTACACACCTCACCACCGCCCCAGCCTCTGCCACAGGCTCATCCTGGCCATTTGTACCGGGGAGGGGGGAGGGGATGGGGGGGAGGTTTGCTTTAGGGCCCACCCTTCCCACTTACCAACTGCAGGCTCCTGCCCAGTCTCTTCTCCAGGAGGAGGCATGGGCTGGGGCCAGTGGGGACTGCGTGGCCCTGCAGATCTGTCTCCACATTATGGCTCTGACTTGCTTTCATGGCTGTCTATCAACTGTGAGCTGGACAAGGAAAGCAAGCGGTGTTCTGTCCCCTGGACCCCAGGGCACCTGGACCGGGCTAGCCTAGAACAGGCCCTCAGGGCATGCTGGCAGGGTTGCTGGACCAGCGGCTCACTCTTGAGAGTCTGTATTCAGAGCAGCGAGCGAAGGGTCAGGGATATAAGAAGGCCTAAGACACGGTCCTTGGAGGGGGTTTCTGTTTTCCAGGGGACACAGGAAGTGAATGCAAATTCACAGAAGGTTAGAGTTGGGAGGGCCATTAGCAATATTAAGAATAGCTGCCAGCCCTGGACGGTTTGGCTCAGTGGATAGAGCATCGGCCTGCGAACCAAAGGGTCCCGGGTTTGACGCTGCAATAATGCTGCCTCTCAGAGGTACTACAAACAAGCAACCACAGACAGACACTCTAAGAGCAGTGGCTGGAGCATCGGAAGCTCCAGTGCCCATCGCTGGCTGCTGTGTGGAAACCGGGCTTTGGGGAAGCGTCAATATCGGCCCTGCCTGCCTCTCTGGCGCCCCTAAGTGGTTAACTTTTTAAAATATATGTATATTTTTATTGATTTCAGAGAGGAAGGGAGAGGGAGGGAGAGATAAAAACACGAATGATGACAGAGAATCATTGATCAGCTGCCTCCTGCACGCTCCCCACAGGGGATCGAGCCTGCAACCCAGGCATGTGCCCTGGCTGGGAATCGAACAGGACTTCCTGGTCTACGCTCAAACACTGAGCCACACCGGCCGGGCTAAGTGGTAACTCTTGATTGACAAGTTCCCATCCTCAAAGTGACATGGCCACGGGGTTATCAGTCCCTGAGTGGATTGAAGGAGCACTGGGCCCTGAGCCTGGTTAGCAATAATTAACCTTTTATGTATCTCAGCCATTTACAAAGGGGCCTTCACAGACCCTGTCCATCTCATGGCCCAGATGAGGTACAAACAACACCACAGAGATCGGGTGGTCACTGGCTCCAAAAGATATTTCTGTACCAAGACTTGGATCCAAATGGCCACCCTGCCACGAGCACACTCCGGCTATGACAAGGCTCCTCTCCCAGGAGGCCCCTGGCCCTGGCCTCCTTACCCAGGCTCTGCGGCCGTCGCAGATCTGAGAGTCTGTGTGCTTGCTTGCACAGATACATACAGGTATTTACAGGCCTTAGCAAACCAAAAAGGAAAACGGCGCCGCTGGTTAAGGAAACTTCAGAGGAGGGATTGGGAAAACCAACGAGGGAGAACAAAGCCACAGGCAGGCAGGCTGTGACCGGGATGGCTGGGGAGTAAGAAAGGGCAAATCCACCTTACCGAGACTGTAACCTCTCAGCACATACTTCCTCTAGGTCCTGGAGGTTCCCCAGAACACGTTTCCTTTGTAAGTCAAGAGCCCGAGACGGAACCTCCCACACCCGGTCTGCGGGTGAGCCAGGCGAGCTTCCAGCAGTTCTGGAGAGGGTGCTCCTTTATCAGCAACAGGAGGGGGAGATCCCAGAAGCAGAGCCGCAGACAGAGTGAGGAGGAGGCAGACACGCCCAGGCTCTGAGGCCAGCTCAGGACTGTGATCCTGAGAAGCCTGGAGCTCCTACCGCATGCCATCAAACCCAGGGGCGCAGGATGTGTCACCCCGCAACCCAGAGACCTGGAGTGGGCAACTCCAGATGGGGGCGGGAGAACACTCTGGAGGAGTGCCCCACAGAGGGGAGGGCAGGCAGCCTGGCAAGAATCCCATTTCTAGACCTGGAGGACATATTCAGGGACCACACTTTCTGCAGACGAGGCCATTGGGATTACTTTTACTTCCTTTTAATGTAAACAGAATACACAAACACATTAAAAACCCCGTGACACAAGAGAACACACACAGGTTTATATATAGATATTTACAGACCCTCGAAGATCCAGAGGGAGAGGGCACCTCCGGCTAAGGGAAGCTTCTCTTCCCACCCCACCCTGTCCCAACCCCGTGCTGAGGGAGCCGCAGGAGCCTCTGCAACTGCTTCTGGAGGAAACTCAGCGGGAGGCTGGGGTGACACCAGACA